CTGCTGGCCTCCATGCCACCTGGGAGGTTACCCAGGGGTCTAAGTTGTTTTGTGCTGACCTGTGCTTTGTCAGTTTACTTTTCAAATACAGGTTAAGCCAATGCAGTAAATCATGTTTCAGCTTTCTTGTCACGTATGAATAATTTTGTCATTATCTCTCAGAGTTAGGTCTTCACTTCTTCAGTGGGTCATACCTGAGCTGTGTAGGTAATACCTCTGTGCAGAGGAAGAGGCTGTGCTGCCTAAGTTCTTGGCTCTTGGTACTTAACTTCCACTCTGAATCCTCATTCGACTTTCAGCAAAGCATGCAAATCTATGCCCTTCATCCTCTCCAAGCTCATTAATAATGTGAGCTGGACACAGGCGTGAAGGAAAAGTCCATCTCGGAACAGATCCCTGCTGGGAGAGCCAGGCTGTGAGCAGCTCTGCGTTTAACAAAGCTAATGGAAATTTCCAGGGAGGGCTTAGAGAGCTTAGTGACATCCATAAAAAGGAAGAAAATAAGAACTTGACTAAGTGGACTTCACTGTCCATGACTGACACAGTGTGGAGAATTGCAATTTTTCACCATGAAGCCCTGGGCAACAAATGTCCTCCTTACTGCATCCACATCCAAGTGGGAACATACTCCATGCTACACAGAGTTTCTACCTCACGCTTTGGAAAATGTAAAGTGCTTCCAGCATTTCCATGTCTAGGGTTTGATGGAGCAAAAGTTAAATGCTTACATTACCTGAAAAATATTCATTTCTCCAGTGTAAGCTCTGCTTCTATGAAATGAATAGTCAGGCCTTGATTTGCAAATCTCCTGGGAAACGTGCTGTGAAAGGCTTGCTAATTTACAAAATTCAAGCAATATTTTGCAATGGGCGTTAAAAAACCTTTAGGCTTTCTGAAAAGGGAGATTGTACTGTTTTAAATAGGTGTGCTTAAACCAGTGCAAATCTTTAAGCTTAATTGCAAATCTAATTTAAACCAAGGCAATTGTGGTTGTCACACACATCTTGTTGTGTATGTAAGTTGGCTTAAGGTGTGATTATGTGATCAAGTTTCTCATGCAGGCATGGTCTTAAAACTGGCACTTAACCCATACAATAGCAGCATTTCTTTGATTAAATCTTTGCTTATTAAGAAGGGAAGTTGTGATCTTTGTGTAAAAGTGCCCATCCAGTTCCCTTTGAAAGTTCAGGCATTTTTCTCCACTGTACCTTGACGCAGTTTGAAACATCTCTTCTGTAGCCTCAAGCATCCAAAGACTGGAAGCCTTAATTAGGAGCAAGCAGGATATTGGTCTTAGGGCTGTGGAGAGGCAGATGAGATGCAGGTCAGAGAGGTGCAGATTCATGCGAAAGAGAACAGAGATCACGTTGAGAGTTTTATTGCTTCAAGTCTCTTGCAAGAGGTGGAGCTGGGAGAGAGTGGGTCGGTTACCTGACCCTGATGGGGAAAGAGGCTGCTGAAGGGTAGCTGGGAGAATGCTTGCTGCTGCAGTGGGGAGTGCCAGTTGTTTATTCTGAGCCACTTTTCTGGCCCTGCAGGGAGACACGTGCAGTCCAGACTAGAAAGCCAGGTTAAAGTGGTGCTGAGGATGTTGAACTCCCATTGTGGCCAAGTGTTGTGACCTTGGCTTAAGCCAAACATCAGTGTTCTCAGACCCAGAAACAGGAGCAGTGGCACCAGCTGCTACAGGTCCTCCATCTGGGAAAGGAGAGCCAAGTCCTTGATTTTGCGGCAGTAAATGAGTAGCTGATAGGGTCCTGGCAGTAGAACTTGATTAATAAATGGCAGAATTTGAAAACCAATGTGCAGTGTCATGTATTAAATTGAATGGCTATTGATTTCACCATCCAGGGAAAGGTACAGATTGACAACATGGAGTTAGAACAGACTTTCCTGTCCAGCAGCCTGAGTGTGTAGTAGCGAGCCTCTGCAGGATGGGTCGGAGCAGGGATGGGAGTGTTTAACCTGGTGTACTGCATGTCAGCTTGGTACCATCGTGCTTTTATAGAAATGAGATGAATCAGATTTGGACGTGTGTGTGTGCACAAGGGCTGAGCTTTCTGTGTAGTAGAACATGGTGTTTGGGGGAAGAGCAGAAACACAGTATTGCCAACTCACATTTTAGCCTAGGGAAAGCTTTGCAGCCTTCTGGTTTCTAGAGCTGGGAGCTGTCAGAGGCAAGTAGGGCACACAAAGCACCTTGGTGAAGAATACCAGTCATGTAGTTGACTGTGGGGACCACACCTGTACTTTGGAAAGCATGAAGAAGTGTGGAAGGAGGGGAAAACCAGCATGGGTCAATTGAGCTCTGTTGGAGATAGTTACAGCTACCAAGCAAACTCGGCTTTTACTGGAAATTTTGCCCACAAGGTCAGAAAGTCTTGCCTGCCTAGGGAATGTGGTACTTTACAGACTGCAAAGTGTGACAGCTAAGTCTCAGTATATTAGGCAGGGAATGGAGCAGCCAGAGGGACTGGCATAGTTTTAGTGACAGGTTACCATCTGTCAATAAACTCTGAAGCCTTTGTAAATCTGCATCTCTCTGACAGCTGCTTTTATGGGGTATAATGCAGCTCAGGGCCAGCTCAGCATAAAAATTTAAATAAATAAAGAAATAAATACTGTTGACTGTTTACTTCTTGTAGACTCTGTGTGGTTTTGTTGACCTAATTTTCTCCAGCTTTCACCCTTGGTCCCAACCTGGGGTGCTGTCAACCCAGCAGCCTGGCCCAAGGCCTCCAGCACACGTAGCTCTCTCATTGCAGCACATCTGGCCTTCAGCATCTTCTAAGCTAAGGTTCTTGCCCTTTCTACTGAATCACCTTATTACAGGGACAACAGCTTTTATATATACATACACCACCATCTTTGTACCTGAGCCATAACCATCTACCAGCTACTTGCCCATAGAATCACAGAATACCAGGTTGGAAGGGACCACAAGGATCACCATGCTGGCTTACACTGCGCAGTGTGTGCCTGCCCTCCAACATTTCTGTATGGCACAGGGTAAGCCTGATTCACTCTTATCCCCTTCCAGTCTAAGAGCTTTAGGAATAGTGGGAAATGCACTTACAACACCATGGTTATGGTAGTTTAGTTTCTGTGACTGCCTATAGTCTTCAGCAGTTATGTGATGATTAGCAATATATTGTTAACCTCGCCTGTTCCTGTAATTAGCCAGCCCTGGCATTGTGTATCTTTTTGGGAAATGCACTGTGACAGGTTGCCAGAGTGTTGGCTGCTATGTTAAACTTAGTAGCATTAGGTGTAAAATTCAAGTTTTGGATTGTCTGGCCATACAGGTAGTTGATCCAGTGCAAACTCCTCTGTGGAAACTTATTGAAATATCTGCTATATCTGCCCTTGTTCCACAATTACTGTTAGTGAGAGGGCTGTATATAGATTTATTTATAGGCAGAATGAGAACCATTTGCAAAGAAACTATGGATGTCATCTTATCTGGATTTCTGCAAGGCCTTTGATGCAGTCCTCCCTCTAAATTGGAGAGGTATGGATTTGATGGGTGGACTGTTCAGTGGATAAAGAATTGGCTGGATGGTTGCATCCAGAGAGTAGTGGCCGATATCCAGATGGAAGACAGTGACAAGTGGTGTCCCTCAAGTGTCTGTACTGGGACCAGTGCTGTTTAATATCTTTGTTAATGATATTGGCAGCAAGATTGAGTGCACCCTTGGCAGGTTCGCTCATACCAAGCTGGGTGGGGAGGTTAATGTGTCAGAGGGAAGGGATGTTGTCCAGAGGGACCTGGAGAAGTGGGCCCAGGTGAACCTCAATAGGTTCAACAAGGCCAAGTGCAGGGTCCTGCACCTGGGTTGGAACAATCCTTGTTACCAGTACAGGCTGGGACATGATGTGCTGGAAGGCAGCCGTGAGGAAAAGGACTTGGGGGTACTGGTAGATGAGAAGCTGGACATGAGCCACCAGTGTACATCTGCAGCCCAGAAGGCCAACCGCATCCTGGGCTGCATCACAAGAAGCGTGGCCCAGCAGATGGAGGGAGGTGATTCTGCCCCTCTACTCTGCTCTGGTGAGACCTCACCTGGAGTACTGCGTCCAGCTTTGAGTCCCCAACACAAAAAAGACATTGAAGTGCTGGAGCGGGTCCAGAGGAGGGATAGAGAGATGATCAAAGGGCTGGAGCACCTCTCTTATGAAGATAGGCTGAGAGAGTTGGGGTTGTTCAGCCTGGAGAAGAGAAGACTCTGGGGGGACCTTACAGCAACCTTCCAGTACCTGAAAGGTGCCTATAAGAAATCTGAGGAAGAGCTGTTCACTAGGACATGTAGCGACAGGATGAGGGGTAATGGTTTTAAACTAGAAAAGGGTAGATTTAGGTTGGATGTTAGGAAAAAGTTCTTCAATATGAGGATACTAGATCACTGGAACAGGTTGCCCAGAGGGATGGTGGAGGCCCCATCCCTGGAGATATTCACGGTCAGGCTTGATGGGGCTCTGAGCAACCTGATCTAGTAACAGTGTCCCTGCTGACTGCAGGGGGGTTGGACCACATGATCTGTAAAGGTCCCTTCCAACTCAAGACATTCTAATTGTCAAATAGAAGTAGTGTTTTACTTAACATTGCCTAGTGCAGGAAATGCTGGCAGACACAGCAGAGAGAATTTGCCTTCCTATTCCAATTCTGTTTAGTCACTTGGAGCTAAAGTAACCTGATTTTGTACACACACTTGTATGTCTTCATTTCCTGAAAATGTTTCTGCTTCTGTTGCTGTGCCTCAGTGCTCATACTGAATTGAAATGACTGGAACATTGCATGACAATCTGGGCAATACAGCGCTCCATGTTTGCAAGGCTGTTTGTGGTGGTGAGCCCTTTGAACAAAAATGTGAACTGAGCTAGATCTGCAGTTTCCATAGGGCAGGAATCAACACTGTCCTTTGTGTTGTGGGGGCGTAATGCATGCTGGCTGGAATAGTATGCTGTGATGCTAATGTTTTTTCCTTCTTTGGTGTTTCAAGGGCCTTAAACTCTGGAGTTGAGTACCACTGGGACCAGCTGAATGAGAACGTCTTCGCTGTGCATTCCAGCAGCAGGAGCACTGAGAGGCCTGGGTGAGTCTCCTGGGTGTGGCTTAGAGAGACCTGACCCTTTCTGCTGCTTTTGTTATATCCGACAGCACCACTTATTTCTTCCCTTAGTACTGGCAGCTTTAAATATTCAATTTTTTCTACATCTGACGTTGCCTAGTTGGGCCACCTGGCCTCCTTCCAGTAAGTGACATTCAGTGCCCAAAAGTGCTGCCAGTGATAGTGAAGTTCGTGTGTCATCCGTGGCCTCAGTAGCATCCTTGTGCAAGCTGCAGGAGGAACGTGTGGGGCTTGATGCAGTAAAAAGACCACACAAAGTAAACAGCCTTTGGAGGATAACTGAAGAACTGGGAGTTTCACAGGGATGAGTGCAAATCCATTGGGCGGTCGTGGTGACTGATTTTCATCTCTTTGGTTTCTGGTCATGGGACAGTTGTTTCTCAGCAATAAACTCTAAAAATAAGACTAAATCCCTTGACAGTCCTATTGGCTGCCTCATCCAGTCTGTCTGGTGATGCACACATCAGTTATTGTAAACATGAGGATGATGCTGCAGTCCCTTACGTTTTGTCCCAGTGAAGAGTACTTCTCCTGAAGCCAGCTCTTCTCAGCAAGAGGTTTGCAATCTTGTTTCTCAATTGTGAGCTTTAGGATCCCAAGGAAGTTACGAGCTTGTGTACAGGATAGCATCTGTGGTGGTCTATACCCTTGGACTGTTTGAGGGAAAAAAATACTCTTTACTCTCTTTACTCTACCATGTGAGTGGATATTGCCACTACTCATAGTTTCTGACAGCACATACCAGTCTTGCATGATGGGCTTAGAAGCAGCTTGAAGGCAGAAACACTGCTCGAGAATGAACTGCTCAAAGACAGAGCAAGAAAAGTGTGGCAGGTTTCAAAACCTTATGAAAAAAGGTTGCGAATGAGGCTGTCTTTCCTAGAATCTCATTACCCTTCCCAGCACTCCCAGCCAGAGGTCAGTTTAGGAAAGAGCATTCAAGCATTGTCAAAATTCAGCTCTTGTAGTGTCATACACTTAAACTGTTTGATTCTGGGAAGAAGCGAGAGAGCCTTGAGGCAGTTCCTGTTGTTTGCTTTTGAGAACAGAGAATTTCCCTTGTCCAACTGGAATGGGCAGAAATGCCTGCTGGAGTGCATTCATGTGTGATGCTGACAAACTAGGAGGTCCAGAGGAGGGAAGGGTCCTTGGGAGTTAAAACTGCCCTGCTAGTTTGCAGAGGGAGGTTATGTGTGTTTATGGTCCTGCACTGCATGTTGTGTTGCCTACTTAACTCGGTGACCCCAGGAGAGTTGTTCTGCAGGCTTAGTGATGCTGCAAGGATATCTATCTATGCCTGTCAGACACACTGCTTCTGTGGAAGGGTGAGTGGACTATAAGACTGTTGGCTTAAAACTCGCTGCTGTGTGTGTAAATAAGTGCAGGTCACGGTTCCCTCCAGCCCCATCTGCACAGTGGCTAGCAAGTGCCTAATTGGAGTAAAGACAAGAAGGGGCTCAGGTGGATGCTTCAATCGTACTGGGGCATGTTGTCTCCAGTGCTCCCGGTCTTACTTGTTTTTCTCTCTTTTCAGAACCAGCCGAGCCACATGGAGGACAGACAGGGACATGGGCCTGATGAATGCCATAGGCCTGCAACCCCGAAATCCTCCCACCTCTGTGACTTCGCAGGGTACCCAGACCTTGGCACCTCAGCTGCAGAATGCCGAAACTCAGACAGAGAGGGAGGTACAGGAGCAGGAATCCGCCTCTGCAGGGACTGGGGAAGGTAGGAGCTCAACCAGTGATTTATTTGACAGAGTTCACCTGGCGAGTGAGGCATTTCCGCATAGGTTCCACATCCTATGAGTGCATTTGAACATCCCCACATCTCTTCAGCATAGATTTCTCCAGCCTAATTTGTGTGTAGTCAGGCCAAGATGATCAGGAGAGTGGATCTCTGTCCACATGAACAGAGAATTTATTTTTTTCACATGCCTTCAGAGGGCAAAATTAACTCTTCTCCAGATCACTGTGTCTTTGTAGAATCAATTGTACTGGCATCACTCCTCTTAAACCCCATGAACTCTAACCTTCAGTAAGGCTAGAAACTGCTGACAATTTTTCTTTCTGCCTCTGTGTTAGTGCTTAACTTGATTCTTCAACCTCTGCATCTGAAACCTGTGCAGGCTTCACAAGCTCAGCATCTAGATACAAACTACAGTACTGTAAAGTACTGTAAATAATTTCTGACAAAACAGGTATGAGTAGTCTGTTTAGTCTGATAGATGAAGGCTGTGATGAGTGTCCAGCTCAGTTGTTCAAAAATGTCTCTAGTGTTTTCCAGTCTGAGAAAGCTTATCAACATGGAAAGAGCTGGAAGCAGATGATTTGTAATTCCTCCATGTTAAAAGATACGCAGATCTTTTGAAAGCATGGTGATTTTGTCCAGGCTTTCTGTCTCTGTGCTGTAGAATTGTACTTGAATCCAGCTCTGAAGGCTTGGCTAGGAAAGAATTGGGCAGTATATGCATAGGAAAGGCAGAGAAAATCAAGGAGGCAGTTTTGAAGGTGTTGGTTCACTATGAACCCACTTGGCTTTGGAAAGCAGTCCATGACATGCCTGCTTCTGCCTATGTGCTTGCTTGTGCTCTGTCATTCTGAATGATGCTTTTTGGCATGTGACTCCTCCACAGTTTCTACCGTGCAGCATCCAGCATGTGTGATAAGGCTTTGTGTTTTCCTGATCTCGGCTCTTGTGTTCAAAGTTAAGTGGCAAATTCCTGACCTATGGGGTTTCCCATCTGTTTATCTCAGTGGAGCTGGGATTAACCTCTCTGGAAGGTTAGTACAGTTGAGGGCGTGTGAATAAGGCTGGAACGTAGGATTTCTGGGCAAATGCTGAATTTGAGGGAACTGGTTCTTCCCCTGAATGTGGTATGCAGACCAAGAACAGGGTACTGTGTGGGACCTTTTCTCATCAAGGCCACGATGGCTGATGCAGCAGCCTTGGAGGTCTTTCTCTGCTTTGTTAAGCCAGTGAAGTTCTCCAGTGCTGCTTCTCTCTGCTGCTGTTCTGCAGTCATCTGAAGGTTTCATTATCTCATTCTTTCTAATTAACCTTTCAATTTTCAGATCTAGATCATGGTTTTTAACTGGACCATTAATGAGATGGGAAAGAGTTATCCTTTACAGTGACTTGGGCCACGTATCTTTACAAAGGAGCAAAACATGAAGCATTTGGAAGAAAAGACGTGTAGATAACAAGGCCGGGACCGAGATTTCTCTTTGTCTCCCTTTCTTGCTTGGAAGAAGATGGATAAGTTCCACATCTGGTGGGACTTCTGGCTCATATTCTGTCTTAATCACATGTCCCCTTGCAAGTGGCCTCACCTGTAAAATGGACTGTTGTACTCCTGTCTACTGGACAAGGATCTTTAGAACAAAGGATTTATTCCAGTATGGGCACATTGCTGGAGATGGGATGAGCAGTCTTACCCTGTAGTCGATCAGTTCTTATGCCAGTTGCATCCTCAGTGGAAATTCCTGTGCAAAGGCTCCAGAGCAGCTCAAAGCAGGGAGCTGTCAAGAGATTAACTATCAGGAGCGTATAGGATCCAAAAAACCTCTGTAATCCATGAACACCTCAACCGGTCAGACAGAGACTTGTGGCATCAGTGATCTGGTTCATCCAAGAGCCTTCACACTTCACATTATACTTGAGCCCCATTGTGCTACCTGTGGCATTAAGGTTACTCTCATGATGCTTGTCCAGTGTGTTCAGGCAGGCTTGATTAGATGCTGTGCTGCTTTTCTAATGGTTAATTTCCCCATTCTATCTACCATTACTTTTTGCCTGTTGAAAAGGAAACTGTTTTCTAATAGCAGGATCTAGATGTCAGGGACATGGGGGGGGGGGTGGGAAAAGGAAAAAACGTGCTACCACTGACTTGGTGTGTGACCTAGGGCAAAATATTAATCGTCTACCAGATGAGAATAAATCTTCCCATAGTACAGTACACCAGGGGCTGTGAAGATTAATTAGTGTTTTGTATGGGGCTTTGAAGATGTAAATCACTACGTAAAGGCTTAGCAGTATTATCAGCAGCAGAATGCATAAATCAGATGTCATTCTCAGTAATGTAAAGGAAAGTGTATTAGTTAGCACTGAATAAAAAAAAAACCAAACCTTGAATGTTTGAAAAAAATAAAAGGAAAAGAAAAACTAGTGCTACCCCTGCGAGTGGGCTCTGTCCTACGTCCTGTCAGCCCTGCTGCTGTGGGGAATTCTGGCTCGGGGCATCTCTTGCAGATATGTGCTTACTGTACAAAAAAAAGTATGCAGAATTGCATCAGAAATCTAATTAAGCTCTGCGCGGGTATAAATAGTTTCCTTTTCTCATGCAAAGCTCTGCGGGGACTTTGCTGTTCTGATTATCTTTTTACCTCCTTTGGAGGAATGAGTATACGATGACTTTATTAGAAGTGAATCCCTCTAATGTCTGTATCTTTTTGTTTTGCAGCAGTTGATAGCTGCCTTGTGAACTCTGCTCCCAAGCCACACATAAACCAAAGGAAGTTAGAGTTGAGAGAAAGCTAGGAGAGGTACCAAAAATTGCCTAAAACGGTGTTTCAGCTGTGTCTTACTTTCTTTTAAGCTGACAGACATAGTGGAAAATGTGATGGAGTTGTAACTTTGAGGTACTCTTAATTAGAAACAGTCTGTTGGGAGTTACACAATGCCTTCCCTTGCAAATGGACAGGCATGATAGGAGAGGGATCAGTATTCAACTGGCAAATTAAATGTCACTTAAAAAGCAACAAAAATTCCGTATGAGATTTAATGGCCCAAAGCTTCAACCTTTAGAATTTGTAATTCCCAGTCCAGATTGGGTCAGGCTGTAGTTGCTGCTTGTTGAGGCTGCTGGATCTGTGGGGTAGGGCTCAAGTAGCAGCACCTGTCAGGGACTGCAGCTGTGCAAAAGGCACTGCAGGCTGAGGGAAAGGGCCCTTTGCAGAGCTGCAGGACGTTCGTTTGAATGTGTGCCCATGCTCTCCCCTGGCTATTGACAGTATATCAAAATAAAATAACCTACATTCAAAAACACCTTGATGGAAATAACTGAAAGGCAATTGTAATCTTGGTTCCCATCATCTGCATTGTCTTTGGGGCTTGAAATACAGGTAGCTAGCACAGCTCTTTGTGCAAGCAGGCACATGTTATGAGCTACTGAAACTGTAGCCATGGACAGACTTGCTGGTGGATTGCTGCTTTCCCTGTCTTTGGGGAAGCAACAAATTGACTCCTGTCATGCCATAAAAAGTTTTTAACCTGTCTGGTTGAAGTGTTTCTCACCAGCCAGTACAAATCTCCATCCTGTCCTAACTGCTTTCATAGGTTGCAGCAAATACTTTTTTAGAGGGAAAAGGGTTGTAAAATGGAGGCTCGGGTTTGTGGGATTCAGTCTGGGCAGACTGTTCATAGTGAAATACAGCACATGCAAGTGAAACGTTCCTGGTACAAGCAGAGCATCCTGATGATGCCTAAGGAGCACTCGTAAGCAGAGTCAGTGTGCTGGCCTGTGATGTAACTTACTTAATCCGAGACATTAGAAACGTGTGTTGGGGGGCTGCATGGGCAGGAATACCCTGTCCCCAGGCGAGCCTCATGAATGCTAAAAAACATGTTGTTTTACGTTTAGCTGAACACATTCTTGCAATGCTGTTGTCAGATGTGATGTGACTTTTGTGCAATTAGTGTGGAAATGGGAACCAGGACACCAGGGATCAGCTTCCAGATCTTCCTCTCGTTCTCCAAGTAGAAACGTGGGTAGATCCCTTAGCCTTTCATCTGCCCGTCCATCTGTAAAATGTGCGTCATATGTCCTATAGAACTGCAAATTTCAGTTTCTCTTTAAAGCCCTCTGAAAAGTGCTACCTAAAAAATAGACTTGGGTTCTAGAAGCACGTACTATGCAAGATTTTACAGTGGGAGCTACTCTCAGTGCGAGTACCTGACTCTCTTGGGATGAAATTATGGGGGCTACTTTTAAACTCTCATTACAAAAATAAATTTCACTTATAGAAATCACTAAGGTGAGATGTTGCTAAGAAATTTGTTACAAGTCAGTGCAGTAGTGTCTTTTCTGAGTTCTGTGGAGTTGTTTGGATTAGCTACCTCAGAAAGGAAGTGTGAACACTCTTCTGAGCTTGGTTGGGGAGAAAAGTATCTGGTAGTATTTCTGGCACTAAGGGAGATGTGATTATTCATAGCTGGTTATGCTGTGCTGTGACCCTCCCTTTCCTATTCTTATGCAAGGAGTGAATTCATTTTAAAATGCTGATATTTTTATCTCTGAGCATCTGAATTAGTGGGTCAGCTCACACCTCAGAGCTATTATTCCACGTTCTCTGAAGGCTTAGATATCTCTGCAGTGCTTACTCTTAGTTCTAATTTTGAAGCTTTGTTTGCAAGCATGGCTACTAACTACCGCTGGTTTTAGAAAGAGGAAAGCTAAAAATAGGAAAAAATTCAAAAGCGCTGCCCGTACATCGCACAGCCACAGAGGAGCCTGATCTTGTCCTTGCTTCTATGGGCTTTGCTCTTTATCAGGTGTGTGCCATCCATGGCCAGAGATAAACAAGTTGTACTCCTTTTAAGTCCTTCAGGGACCGCTTCATTTAAGAGTGGAAATGCATGTGCTTTATGCCCAGCTCCACTGAAAGTCTGCCACTTGTTTTGCCTTTGTAGTCTTCTGTGTCAAACTCTTGTCTTGCTGGAGTAGTGTGGCAGAGGACTTTTAAAGACAGAGGCATCAGCTAGGGAGTATTTTCTGAAATGTTGGAGCCAGTTGTCTAGATTGACAGAAATCCGCTGGTCTTTTGGATAATTACTCTCAAAAGTAATGTTTTGTTTCTGTCTTTGGGATAGATGGGGTTTTGGACATCTGGAAAGGTCACTTCAGTTAGAGTAGAAAAGGTTTGTAGGAACAGCACTGTGGACCCAGCAGTAATACTTGTATTGCAGAAGAGAACCGTGGGTTATGTTCTTCTGTCATGCACAGACCTTGTGTGTCCCTGTCCACAAAAGGATGGAGGCTGTGTCTCAAGATTGCTTCCTGCTCTGTGATGGATTCTGACACAGGGACAAGCCCAGGTGGGGGGATAAACTGACAGGTGTTATTGCCTTCACCGGTACTTCACGTACTGTAACTGAAGCTGGTTTGCTCTGTCTTCTGGATTTTATCTGTAGGTGCTTTGTGAGGTTTGTTTTTTTTCTATTTTCCTGACCCTAGAAGGTAGGCTTGGAAGAATGAGAGCTTAGGATAAAGGATTTTACAGGGTCTGGGAGATCAGAATGTAGTTTTGAGCATAAAATGAGAGAAGAGGAATTCCCTTCTCCACGTACAGAATTAGATGTGTTGTCACTTGCCCTACTCCTCCTGCACAAACTCAAGTTCATGCTCTGGATATGCTTAAACCCCTTGGAGTCTGAAAAAAGTGTCACCAGTATGGGGTTTCTCTCTATCCTGTTTGTTCAGCTGGTGGAGCAAGGAATGGAGTTTGCACTGCAGCAGATTGAAGACTTCTAGTGACATGAGGTGTGGGGTTTACGGCATTGCTGTTGTTTTGGGTAAGTGCCTGTGTGCACACTCTGAACCTCCACCAAATGGAAGTTAGCTTGTTACACTTGCACTGAGTACGAATGCAGTCTGCATTGGCAGCCTGGTGAAGGAACGTGTGTGGGAGTCACCAGGCAGTAGAAACTGGCTGTATGCAAATCTGTGCTGTAGCTCAGCTCAAGGCAAATTGCACAGGAAGCTTTGCTCTGAACCAGCCAGCCAAAGTCAGTGTCGAAATCTGAAAGGTAAAAGGGGAGGACAAACCCCCAAAGCAGAGGTGCCTGTTGGTTGCTTGAATTGTGAGGTTCACTTCTGGCCCTTGACGAACTGTTCTTTTGGGATTTTCAACACTGCTGTATCTCTGTGCTCGTAATCTGAGGTCTCATGACTTGCTGATTTCTGCTGTGGCATCAGCCCTTGCCTGTTTTCTGAGCAAGCAGCTGCCTCCACTGGAAATTCAGCCATGGCACATGATAATTAAGGGGTGGGAAAGAGCAGGGGGTGCTGTGGTGTGCACAGCCTCCACGGTCTCCTCCGGTGAAGCACATGTTTGTAATGCTGAGGAGCATTGGTTGGGGATCCTTGCTGATTCACTGCTCCAGTGCTCCTGTAAGTGATCTGTCAAGAGCACAGTACCTGCTGTTTCAGGACTGGAGAGGACTGGCTGGCATGCCTCTAAGGCAGGTTGCACATCTTGGCTTCCTCAAGCTTCCTTGCTGGCCTGGCCAGATGGTTGGTAATGAATGCCCTCAGAAGGAAGCAATGACTGAATCCAAAACCATGCTTCTCAAACCCTCAACTTACTTCTGCTCTTGATTAATGCTTCAGTGTCCCTGGCATGCATGTTTTTCACACGGAAGCTTCCAGTCTAACAGCTGCCTGTGTTCTCGGTCTTTGTGCTGGTCAGCCAGGTTCTTAGTTCATGCATCAACCACATCCTAGTTCTCGCATCAACTGGATCATGAGCAGGAATTCTCTACTAGAGTTGTGGGTCAGGCTCTGCCCAGGACATCAGGAGGTGGTCTTGCTTGCTCCTCTAGGCTCTGCTCCAGATTCTCCTGTGGTTACTGGTGTCTCTGTGCTCTAACCAAGGAGCTATGTAATTGCTGTCTGTATAGTGGACGTAGCAGGCTTGCTACATTCCTAGCAGAAAGGGGCTCATTCAGCTTATGAGAATTAAATTTGCCCTTAATGTCCATAGTATTTCTACAGCAGGGCAGTATGTCAGCAGACTTTCTTGAAGATGAAATGAGCTGTATCCTGTGGTGGAGGAAGCTGGTGGTGTTTGATGCAAGTACTGCTGAGCCCATGAGGAAAGGGAATAAGCTGTTGCTGACTGACTGCACAGCATGTTAACAGCTTTAACTATCTTGCTTTTAAAAAAGCCCAACAAACCTATATAGTGGCACGGTGTAGACTATGCTGAATACTGCAGCCCCCATGTTGGAAACATGATCTCCACCCCACAGCCCCAAGTGGTTTTGTCTTCCTAGTCAGTGTGGCATTTTTGGTTTTTATTGTGTTTTAGCTCCTGCCTACATCTAGCCTTGTTGACATTCGTGTTCATTTCCTTGGTGCCAGGAGAGCTCATGGTTTTCTCCTCTCCTCTAATCAGCACTGGGATAACTTCATGGAGCTGGGAGTGAGATTTATCTCTTTAATAAGAATCGTCAGGATCCCACAGTGGGATGATTCTAGCAGTTTATTATTACGGATTGTTTTCCCCAAACGGTCTGAGTAAGGCTTGTAGCAAAAGGAGGATGTTTGGAAACAACTGGGCTGAATCTTCCTGCCATGGGGATTTAATCTCCTATGTGGACTGTTTTTGTGTGAGAATTTGTTCTTCAAAAGTAATTTTCAGCAACCAAGGCATCTGATGATGGTTCCCTCAGAGCTCAATAGAGGGCCAGAGCGTGGTTATGAAGGGAAGACTCAGATATATCCTTCTCATACTGGGGAGATTCGTATCATGTCATCTGCTTAAGGTATTCTCAAACAGGTGAACTTGAACTGGGAAAGGCCACAGGACTTTTTAAAACCATGATGAAATGTTTGGTGTATTGCAGTGCAAACTGAGGTTTTTCTTCCTGCCCCTATGGGACTGACTGAACTGTCTGTGCACCTGTGAGAAAACACATTGCCTCTTTGACTCTTCTTTCTTCTCCACCTATATGGCTAGATAAGAGCTGCTGCTCCAAGGCTTGAGTCTGTGAGGGATACCTGTGGGAGTGGCCAAGATTTTCTTGACAGAGTTCAGTGCCTTTGCTTGGCGCTTCACTGAAAGTTATAGACGTAAAATGTTGGGCTCCCTCTGGAACAAAACCCATCTTCTGTCCCAGTACACGTGCCCTGTGTGATGTATCTACCCACCATGCTTTCTCTTTGTGTTGTACTTTGCCTTGTGCACTCAAGTTGCTTCTGTTTTCTCTTGCAGGTGAAGGTCCAGAGTATGGGGCTAGTGGGGATGATGCCCTGAGTAGGATCCAAAGGCTGATGGCAGAAGGTGGCATGACTGCTGTGGTCCAGCGGGAGCAGAGCACCACCATGGCGTCCATGGGCGGCTTTGGCAACAACATCATTGTGAGCCACCGGATCCACCGCAGCTCTCAGACTGGTGCAGAGTCCACCGGAGTTGAGGGTACATCAGCACAGCAATCCACCTCGCAGCAGCTGGCAGCTGAGCTGGAGGGACAGATCCTTTCAGAGTCTATGCAGCTGTCAGAGCGCGGCCTGAGCCCGCGGACAGCCCCTAGCGGGAGTGAAGGACAAAGCGTTGGTGGCCTGGACCTGCCAGAGCAGGCCCAGTCTTCCATGGACACTGAGGGACCAATTGAATACAGTGACCTAACTAATAATAACCATCTTCCTGACAGTACCAACTTTTATAGTAATGACAGCACCAGTGGGGAGTCGCGGAACAGGTAGAGATTGAGTTGTGTGTTGGTGCTACCCTTGTACTGCTCAGCAGAGACCTGTACCTCACAGCTGGCCAGGAGCTGGAAGAGTAGGGACGTGTGGCTCTGACAGCATGCTGGTGGTTCAGAGGGCTTCTCTATCCTCGGTGAGTGGGAAGGGATCAGAACTGCAAGGGAAGCAATGGGGAAGAAAGTGTACTTAACTTTGAACATTCCAGCTGCTGAAGAGTTAACAGGAGTATGAACCATACTGGCTGCACATCATGCAGATTTTGAAGCCCTGTGGGAACCCCTGAGCTCAGCCCTAACCCTGCAATTCGGTGTCATCCTTTGTAAAGCTTCTTTCCTTTCCTCTTTCCTGCCCTTTTATGCCCAGGGGCTGATCAGTAGAGTGAAGAAAGAGAAGGGGGCCTGCAGCATCCTTCTGGAGACAGGCACTCCAACTGGGCAAACTTGGGCGTGATGCTCCAGCTCTGTTTTTGGAGTGGAGGAGTCTTCCAGGTCACAGTCCCACTCTGTGGCATAGCACTGCTTCCCCCTCAGACTGTGATGTTCTGAGACCCGTCCTGCCTGCCCTGTGGTCTTTTCTGGTGAGAAATGGGCTTTGCCAAAACGTTCATGGCTCAGGATCTGCTCACAGGTGGGGATCTTTCCTTTTTAGAGAGTTAGTTTAGTACTTGGCAGGAACCTAAGCAGAGCTGCTGTATAGAAGGGTAGAGAGACAGGGGCTACTGCTCTCTAGTCAGGATGCGGTTCACGCAAGGATGTTCTAAGCTGTGCCAATATTAACATGAATGAGCCATCCCAGTGGTTTCATGGTGCCAGGACTGAGCTACACCTCCTTGGCAGGGGGCAGGAAATGTCTTTCAGCTCCAGGCCAGGGTGTGAGGTATGAGTCTGTGATGTAAGGTGTTGCATGTGAAATCTTGACCTTGTACATGTAGTTTCTAGTGGAGAAATCAAGGCTCTGATATTTTGGTTTTAGTCTCAAATGTGATTTTCCTTTTCGTTTGTAACTCTCCATCCCTAGCAGGCTTGTGGAGGACGGACGGGGAGAGCGTGAGTGTTAACGAGGGAAACACCAAAGATCAATGTCATTAAAATATGACAAACCCTTGCTTGACCCACTGTCTTCATTTGTGTGGTGTTTGTCTCTGTGTTTGGCTTTAGGATAGGTACATCCAGCTCAGAAGCTCAAGGTAGCTTACAATGTCAGATGATGACCACCCACTTCCCAGGAGGAAAGCAAGCTCAGCCTTTGAGTTGGAATCCCAAAATTGGGAAACAGAGAGGAGCATTTGGGAGTCTTGATTGCAAATCACCTTTTAACCAGTCTGGAGATGAGCAGGCACATCATTCAAGTACCACAGCAGGGAGTGTTTCTCCTGTTCTGTTTAAAAGGGTGTGTAGAGATGCAGCACTGCTTATCTTAGGCAGAGTGGTCTATCTTGCTGACCTCCCAGGGAAGAAGGGAGGTGCAGTATCTCACTGCTGTGGATAAAGGAGCGCATGCCCTGGTGTTACCACTGTGGTGAGGGATGCTTCCCCTGCTGTCTGAGCACCTGCCGGCAGCTGCTGTGCTCCTGCCCGGCTCCTCTAGACTCTGCGCTGCAAAGACATTACAATAAATAAGGCTGTCATTAGGCAGCACTCAAGCTCCCAGTCAGAAGAGTCTGTTAGAGAACATTAAGCAAATCTTCTCTTAAATCACAGCCTGGAAATGAACCTTAAATCAAATCAGCTGCTGCCAGGCCTCATTGCAGAGTGTTAATGAGGCTCTAAAACCTGCCCGGAGCCAACCACATCCCTGATCTGACAGGAGAGCAGCCTGAAAAACGGGATTCCCTTGTGTGGTGAGGAAGGTTTCATGCATCCCTCAGTGTGGGGTGGCCTAAGGATGTGGTGGCACTTGGATGCCAGAGGAGCTATGTCTCAGTTGAAGACTTGGGCATACAGGGCTGTGCAAGTCTAGGCACAGCTGTTTACTGCTCTGCTTGAGAACAAACTAAAACAGAGCCAGGAAAAAAACTGCTTCTGCTTCAGCTCAGCCTGGCATCTCTGCTTCCCTCTCCCTGTGTGATTCCTGGAAGGGCCTTGAGGCCCGTTCTTTGTAGATGTGTTGCAGAGCATTTACAGATGTCCATTTCCATAGCCACAGCCAAGCTACCTATATAAAAATTTCCATCATGGTTGCAGAAAGGTCTTCCAGGATGTCTCCAGTAGTGTTGGCAGATTCTCAGAGGCCTGGCATGCGCTGTTGCTGGGCAGTCTGGCCAGGCTGCTGTGCAGAGACCTTAAGCGTGCTCTGCTGAGGGCTGCCCCTTGGTCCAGCCCTGCACCCGTTGCAGGTGGTGGCAGAGCAGGTAGTGAGCTCCAGTGGGAGCTGCTGCTGTCTCTGACATCAACTTAGGACATCTCTGCAGCTCCAAAGCAGCCTGAGCGAAGATTCAAGGCTTGTAGGTGAAACTCTTCCAGATGAGTTGAGCATGGAGGCCTGATCAGAGCAGACAGCTTTGATGTTTCTTCTAACCTGCTTTGTAGCTCTGGGCCAGAGGCTGGTAGCAGCTGCAGCGTGACTCCTGTGTTCATACAGGCTTTAAGAGTCAACAGTGGGTGTGGGTGGACAGAACCTTCAGATGCTGCCTTGGATGTGCTTTGTAGATGAGCTGCTGTGGCCACACAACTGAGCAGGTGCTCTCAGTGGTGGTGGGCTTCTATACAGAAAGTACAGTGGGGTTTTTTGAGTTTCAGACCTAGAATCTGCCAAGCTCAGTTTCCGTCCCTGCCTGAGACCTGATGGAAGGGGGTGGGAGGAGGGGGGACAAGAGGGAAAATTGAGCACACACATGTCCTAGGCTCACTTCCCCCACCCAATGTGTTTTATTTCTTATGTTTTCCATGCCTCTTGTGGAACAAAACTCTTATCTCTGCCTTGGTCTACCCTCTTCTGGCCCAGCAGTCTTCCTTGGTTGGTTTGGGCAGAGCTGAGCTGACCTGTACCCTGAGCAGTACCCCTGAATCCACACGGTGACCTAAGGCCTGGAGCCCTGCGTGGAACAAGAGGCAGTGAGATTGCCCTTGTCCAGGACACGTGCAGCAGCAGCATGGGGCTCCTTCCCCAACCCTCGCTGCTTACCTGCTCGCTGCAGTGCGGTAACGCAGCGAGCGCTGAGGCAAGCGCCCTGCCAGGAGTAATGTGGAAATTCAACAGAGCTGCCTGAGGAAACCAAACCAGAGCCGTGCATGCTTGCTGGCCCAATTTAGAAGGCAAAATGAGCACTTTGCTGCTTAGGAGCAGGAAATAATCTTAAAAACCAAAAGCATTTCTCAGCCTTAGCCTGTCAGAAACTTTTAAATGTGCTAACGGAATCCTGAGGAAAGGAGAAATGCAGTGCAGAGAATTTTATTTAAGTTTCAAAAGGCTTTTGATAAAGTCCCCCACAAGAAGCTATTAGAGAAACTTTCTCACCTCAAGGGTGAGGGGTAGAGTCCTCCTGGAGGTGGAAGCTGTTTGTGGTGGGAATTGGAGTCAAAAGTAACAGCCAGTTCTTGGCGTGGAAAGAAGTTAATGGTGGGTTGGTCAGGTTTGGTAGGAGCCAATGTTCTCTAAAAGCCCTAATGAGCTGGAAGAGGGGGGAAACAGCTGAAGATACAAGATTATTTAGGTTAGCTAGGAAAAGAGAAGGTGCCAGAAGCTTGGGGGCAGCAGGAGGAGGTAATGGTTAAATCAGCTTTGCTGGAAGGGGTCTTCTGTATGAATCCTTCATAGCGCTAACCTGCATGGGCACTGCTGCAGCTCTGGTGCCGCTGGGATTGGGACCAGACCAGCGGGTGAGCACTGCCTGGAGGCAAGACCTGGGATCCCACAGGGGGGTGCTTAAGCCCTGGCAGGTGGTACAGCCAAGTGGTGAGACCCACTTGTTCTATGACTTGTGTTTGCCCTCTCTCCTGTGCTGACCTGTGGCTCCATCTCCAGCACCTTCGTTTGACTCTCCCTGGAAGTCCCATGCCATACTCGTATGTGTCTGGCGTGGGGTGACCCTATAGCTGGGTGGTGCTGGGACCCCAGCTCTACAGGACAACCAGAAGCTGCGCTGGACAGGAAGGAGAGGGCAGGGACCAGGTCACAGTTGGGTGCACGGGGACTCTCTCTCCTCTGGAGTTACTGGTGCTGGAGCTGAGCCCCACAGCTGGCCCACTGCCCGCCTCTCAGGCTGCTGGCTGGGCAGCAGCTGCCCTCTCTGCTCGCTCCCAGTCTGTCAGAGAAGCTATTCTCCAGCAGGAAAAGGCAAATTAATTAAAGTGTGCAGCATTTGAGCCATCCGCCTCTAATTGGGATCTCGGTGTGCCGTGCATAAATGCCGCTGCCGCCTCTGCGTGGAGGGGGCCCTTGGCACCAGAGGGGGGCACGGGGGGCTGTCAGCCTTTCATTTCCAGCTGCCACACTCTGCCAGCCAATTAATGTTGGCGCCTCTTTCTCCTTACCCCCAGGAGCAGAGGTCTCTGCTCCCTGTCCTGCTGCTGCATGGCTCCCACCATGGTGATAGGCAGGAGGCTCGCTACAGTCTGCTCCGTGCACTCTGGCAAGCGCTGGGATTTGTTTCTCCACCGTGTCTCAAACAGAAACACCTCTCATCTGTTCTGGGTTAGCTCCCTCGGCTCCTGTTTGTTTTGCCTTCCCAGTGGTTGCTGGCATGCAGCCCTGCTAGGAACTGGCGAGGATCAAGCTGTCCTCACTGGGACACCAGCACCCGGCATCAGCTCCTCCCAGCCAGGAGCCGGAGTCCCAGAGGGGGCACCATGAGGCTGCCCCTCTGCTTCCCATCCAAAAATCAACATGCTGTTGCTCAGCCTTCAAGCATCCACCCTCTGTGCCAGATTCTCATCTGCTAATTCAGCTCAGGCTTCTCTGGCTTGGTGGTGCCATGTGGAAGGGACTGGGAGGCCCAAGCACTGCACGGACAGGGCTCAAATGACTCCATGGGACAGGCAGGGTGTGAGCGATGGAAGATATGAGCCCAGCAGGCAGCAAAGGCCACCACTGGAAGAGGCAGCCAGGCACCGAGGTCTCCAGGAGGACCTGTTGCTGAAACTGGACCACCACTTGTGTGGAGAGATGCAGCTGGGCTCTGCTGCCCCACTGAGCCTTCGCTTCAGCTGTGGCTGGCAGGAGACTGAGCTCCAGGCTGGCTCCTTTCTGTTTCTTAGGCTCAGCTACATGTCCAGACCAATATTCCCACCCATATGGGTACACCACTGCTACAGCTTTCCCCAAACCCTTTCTCTGTGCCCCACGAATGGCAGACCAGTAGAGCTCCAGGTTGGGTGTCTGTCACTTTGAGCATTGCTTGGCACACAAGGCAAATGTCCTCGTGTCTGCTCTGCAACTTGCAGCTGCTGGGGGAGAGGGAAGTCCTGAACATCTGGAAGAAAACAGACCAGGACAGGTTACAGTGGGGCTCGGTAGATGCTCCGTTGTGAGGAAATTGAGGAAATGGAGAAAAGGGTAAAGAGAGCAAGAGGGGTTTTGACAAGAGTTCCTAATGTGTAATGGGGCCTGGTACAAGCATGGCTGTGGGTCTTGAGCTCTCCAGTGCTCACTGCTGTGTGTTAAATGAGCTCCAGCACCCCTTACCAACACAGGTGAAGTGTCCATACCGAGCCCTACCTTAGGCTGGTGTGGCCTCCTGTTCCTTTGACGCCAGACCAGGTTGCCTGGAGTTGATGTGCTGCAAGACGGCAGCTGCTGCCCTGCCTCTGCCCAGAGCATGGGGATGCAGAGCTGGGGTGTGGGGCTGGCCCCTTCCCATGCATTCACACAGCTGTGTGTGGTGGTGGGCTCAGGGGCCACAGGGCAGCTGCTGGGAAGCTTTCCAGGTGGAGAAGAGGGTGCCTGGGTAGGGGCTTTTGCTGTGACACCCCCCCAGCAGCAGCCCTCAGTTCTGT